AGTGAGTGAGTGAGGGAACGCCGAGGCCGGAGGGGCGGGGGGCTGCTCCGTGCCTCCACTGTTGCCCCGCTCCCCCCGGAGACCCCCTGGAAACCTTTGGGCCCGCCGTGGAGGGACTGGCTGCAAACTCGGCCGGGAGCCCGAAGCTGGGAGTGCTCGCAGCGCCCTCCATCCTGGCGGCGCGGGGGGGAGCCAGCAATAGTTCACGCAACTCCTCTCTGCTTGAGGCGGCGTTTAAGCGCCTGCGATGAGGATCCGTCTGGCGAGAAGATGGACGTGGTTCCGCAAAAGCTGCGTGTTTCTCGGCTTCTTGATGATCGCTTACTTTGTGGTCGAGTTGTCGATTTCTTCCTTCGGCGCCTCCCTCGGCGGGGAGAGCATCACCAAAGGGAAATGGGAGAGACGGTTTTCTGACAGAGCAGAAGCTGTGGATTTGGCTCGTCCCGTTTATGACAAATCCCCGCCTGATCCTTATGCCCCAGGAGAATGGGGTAAGCCCTCTCGCCTTCAGCTGAGTCCTGAGGAAAAGAAAAAGGAAGAAGAGCTGATCGAAAAGTATGCAATAAATATTTATTTGAGTGACAAAATTTCTCTTCACCGCCACATTGAAGATAATCGACTGAGTGGCTGTAAAACTAAATCTTACAACTACAGAAAACTGCCCACGACCTCTGTTATCATCGCTTTTTACAATGAAGCCTGGTCAACGTTGCTGCGGACAATACATAGTGTTCTTGAAACATCACCTTCAGTGCTTCTCAAAGAAATTATACTGGTGGATGACTTGAGTGATAAAGTGTATTTGAAGACTGAACTTGAAAAATACATAAGCAGTCTGAAAAGAGTTCGTTTGATAAGAACCAACAAACGAGAAGGATTGGTTCGTGCACGCTTAATTGGCGCTACCTTTGCTACTGGTGATGTCCTCACATTTCTAGACTGTCACTGTGAATGTGTCTCTGGCTGGCTGGAACCACTGCTGGAGAGGATTGCTGAGAATGAAACTGTTATTGTTTGTCCTGTCATTGACACCATTGACTGGAAAACATTTGAGTTCTACATGCAAACGGCAGAGCCCATGATTGGGGGATTTGACTGGCGGCTAACATTCCAGTGGCACTCAGTGCCAAAACATGAACGTCTCAGGCGCAAATCAGACACGGACCCAATCAGATCTCCGACTATGGCTGGTGGCTTGTTTGCTGTCAGCAAGAAGTATTTTGAGTACCTGGGTACCTATGATACAGGAATGGATGTTTGGGGAGGGGAGAACTTAGAGTTATCATTTAGGGTTTGGCAGTGTGGAGGCACGTTGGAAATCCATCCATGCTCCCATGTAGGCCATGTGTTTCCAAAGCGTGCACCTTACGCTAGACCGAATTTCCTTCAGAACACGGCACGTGCTGCTGAAGTGTGGATGGATGAGTACAAAGAGCACTTCTACAACAGAAATCCTTCAGCACGAAAAGAAAACTATGGAGATATTTCTGAAAGAAAGATACTAAGAGAGCGTTTGAAATGCAAGAGTTTTAACTGGTACTTAAAAAATATATTTGCCGAGTTGCATGTACCGGAAGATCGTCCTGGTTGGCATGGTGCTGTCCGCAGTGCAGGAATAGCTTCAGAATGCCTTGACTATGTCTTACCAGAACATAATCCTACTGGGGCTCACCTTTCTCTCTTTGGATGTCATGGTCAGGGAGGCAATCAATTTTTTGAATACACATCAAATAAGGAGATTAGATTTAACTCTGTAACTGAGCTATGTGCTGAAGTTCCTGAGCATGAAGACTTCATAGGTATGAGGAGCTGCCCAAAAGATGGATCTCCTATTCCAGAAATTATTATATGGCATTTCAAAGAAGATGGGACTATCTATCATCCGCATTCGGGAAAGTGCCTTACTGCTTATCGTACAACTGAGGGGCGTGCTGATGTGCAAATGAGGACTTGTAATGCCGGAGATAAAAATCAGATTTGGAAGTTTGAGAAATAATTACTGCTGGTAGTACAAATCAAATGGACGGTGATCTCCAAGGTTTTTATATGCGTGAGCAGATAGCCAAGTTTGATTGTTTTGTCTTGGAATGTCTTCAGATGCCTCTACAGTGGTGTAGAAACTATATCTGCTGTGGTGAACTGTATGGAAAGCAAAAGTAAATACTGGGATTTAGTTTCTAAAAAATTGAATTCAGATCTAATGCCTTTTATTTTTGTAAAATTTTGATCTGTTATTTTCTTTCTTTGTTCTGTCTTGATTGTGGTAAAACAAAGGCTTTTGAGTGGACTGAGGAGGATTTGGGGTTTTTTTCTTAAAAAAACCCTACACTTTAATGTTTAAGGTTTAATCCTGCAAGATGATGTTATGTGAAGGTAAAGAATCTTTCCTTACAGAAGTAAAAGTTAAGATTCTTGCAGTGGAATTAATTTTCTTGTGTTGCAGCTACATGATAACATATGTAAGTAATGCTGCTTTAATTGACATTGGTGTGGGAAGTTGAATCTTAAGTCTTGTAGTATTCTGCAGTTTTCTGGGAATGTATGTGCTCTTAAGGGTTTCAAGGTGACAGCTAGCTATGTTACATTGCGGAAAAAGAAAGGTTTTAGAACATGAGCTTTGGCAGTGTTTTGTGGTCTTGTGCCTGTTCTGGAAAACCTCATGAAGATGAGTTGGGAGCTCTCACTCTTTCAGAGAAGAGTGAGGTAGCAATGGAACCAAGGACTTGCTGATGGTACCACAAATGGGAAGAAATAGGGATGACTACAAGTAAGAATTCTGTTTAAAAGTAGTGGAAAAGGAGAGAAAACAGAGAATTGCATTAGCTACTGCTGTTTCTTAGCTTATGTATTTAATAGTTCTGTTGCCTCTGTAAACTTTTCCATGTTAAGCCTAGCACCCTAGGGACACATCACTTATGTGACTATACCATGTATCTGGTTTGTTGGGTTTTTTTGTTTTGAACTGGCAGCAGAGTAGATGAAGGAGACACATAGGAAAACTTGGGCTGTTTTATTTTGCATCATGTATTTTGGCAACAGTCGGCATACATCAGCCGAAGGTAGAGTTTTGATTTAATGCAGTGTATGCTGCCTCTTCCTAGTCACCAAAGTATGGTGGGAGACTTCTGTTAAGGTTTGGAAACTGGAGTTCCTGAAGTGAAGAGAGTTGAAAAGGCAAAGGGCAGCTTGGAGGTAACTAAGATTTGTTGGTCAGGTGGTTCATAGAACAACTTATTTAGGATGCTTTCTGTATCCTGTTATTCTGAGTTTTGAAGACTATTGATTCTTAAATCATGTCACTAATCTGTTTTGAGTGTGATTATATATGGAAGATGCGATAGCTGTATTGTGTACTTGGAAAAAAATGATCTTGTGTTATTATCTGTGTTTTTAGCTTTCTGTGATTTAAATTGAATGCTTATCTTAGTGTTTCTGACATTCCAGCTTTTTTATTACTTTCACTTAAGTAATAAATGTTCTTCAGTAACCACAGTATAGTAATTCTTGACATGGGGCTAGTAGGTAGGAACTTGAGCTAGTGAGCAATAACAATCTGGATAGTTGAGGATTGTAGTAAATGTGCATTTCCTGCAGGTGTTAGTAGGTAGAAAGGTTAAAAGGGGGCAAGTAAGATCTGAAATAAATAAAGATTTGACAAAAATAAAGCAAGAATAAATTAAGACGTATTCTTGAATCTCGATGGTTTTGAAGAGTTGAGAGGTTTGGGTGGAAGCAGGCTAAAATATAAGTGGAACAGAAGAAGAAAATTTGGAGCTGAGGATGTAGCATTGAATCATGCTAAAAATGCTTGCCACTGTGTGGCATGAGTTGTTTTAAGTCTTTTACTTATTTTTTTTTAGGAGATTACTTACAATTGGATTTTTATTTTTTTTTAAAAGGGAACTTCTTTACTATATAAGGGAGAAGACATTCCTGAAAAATTCCATTCCACTCTGCAGCAAGGAATTCTTTTGTGGACCTACTGGTTGTGAACCATTTATCAAATTTTAAAAGGCAGCCAGACATGTACAGGGGCAATAAATTATAAAAAGTATGTGCTTTTGTGAAAAGCTTGTTTTAGACTGTTACATTCAATAGGAAATGACGGGGGAAAAAGGCCTGGGTTTTCCACATGGCAAAGCATAAGTTGTATGTGCAATGCATGTTTCCTCTGATGAAAGTAATTAACTAGTGTGAATATAGGCTATGCAACTTTTATACAATTATCTTTTTTAGAACTTGGCAAAAACTACATTTCATTTCATGTTAAAACTGACATTCAAAGTGTTCCTTATCTATTTAAGCAGTAACTCTAAGTGAGTCTGCCTCTTAATGTTTGAAAAGCTATTCTCTCTGTATGTATCTGAGCCCTTCTTCCTTCTCCCCACCACCTCCCATTCTATTTTTGTGGTTATTTAAAAGCTAAAAGGAAAAACAAAGCAAAAGTACATAACCTGGCCCTAATAAGTAAATACATTAATTAAATTTGTTCCCAATAGGAATAAAAAAGTCTGGTTGTGGTTTTTTTGGTTTTTCTCGGTGAGTGGGGAGAGTAGTTAGAGGAGGAGAGACAAAGAGACAATTAAGAACCCCAAAACTGTTCAAGTTCCACTAGTTTTGAACTGAGTTACAGCAATTCTACAAAATATAGAAATACTCCAATCCAGGTGTTTTTCAGTGTGTACAGCCTTCTGGAAAAACTGAAACTCTGAAAGATTTTCTATTCTGTTAGGGGAATAATTGTATATATTTTAAACTACTGATTTTAAGTGACTTAAAATAAATTGAATGTAAACTTAGCACTGAATAAGTGTGGGAGGACTTTGATGTTTCTCCTGAAAAAATAAAATCCATGATGATAATTAAATGTTGGCTCGTGTGTTTACTCTTTTCAATTCTGTTCCACTTGTGTAAGTGCATACAGTATATGATAAGAACTGTTGTGAATTTGAACTTAGGGGAGCTATTAAAAGTTCCTCCTAATTTGTCCACTGTGCTTAGAATTCCAGATTGGTTCCCTTGACAGAGGTTCAATTAATAATTGTTTTCCTCGAAGCAACAAATCTTGTGAATCACTGCTAAATGTTTGTATTGTATCATTATGCCTTATCACGCTGAGATTTGTAAGGTTCCTGTATAGTGTGTGGGTTTTTTGGTGGTAGTGTCTGAATATTCACATACATGATGAGCACAACCCTGTGCTCCATCTGACCTGTAATTCTTGCACTGAGCAAGTGAATTATATTGAAGATGCTTCAGTATTTGGGGAGGAAAAAAGGGTGACTAAGAGGTACATTGTTAAAGCCTGGCTGAATGTGTCTCTTCTGATCTTTTGCACAACTTGTACTCACGGCTGTGGTATTCTGGGAAATGGGAATGTAGCACTAATTCCATACTGCAGCAACTTGTGTCTTCATATGTACATGTATCTATGAAAAATGTATACTGTCAGTATTCCCAAGTTATGAATTGAACTTGGTTTCATTGCAAATACCATAAAAAATATATTTCATGGCATATGTGGAGCCCAGATATCTGTTTGGAGAACTGCAGCAAAGCAGTGTGTAAACTTGGCCTTTGCATAAGGCCAAGTCCTTATTCTTTGGTGTTTAATTCTGTTATGACTCATCACCAGAAGAGCAAATTATCTACAGCTGCGTCAGCTATACTTGGGTGTGTGCAAAAAACCCACTGATATTAAAAAAAAAAGGCATTGAGGTTATAAATTGGACTAATATTAGAGTGAGTTCAGTGTGACGTTTCATCTTCTTTCAAGTTACATTTTGCAGTTGATCAAATATTTTCATTACTACAGCAAGGACAAATTTTGTCTTTCACCTCCAAACATAGTTCTGGTTATGTAATTATTTTTTTTTCTGAGGGAAATGTGCAGCAGATATGTTTGTGATAAGGCCCATCCTAAAAAAATGCTTCTGGACCTTCTCTGTTTATTTTGTTTCAGTTCTAATACTTTAAGTTAGCCCTGGAGATGTGTTGTGGACCACTTACTGGTGGTCTGGTAAGTGGAACTTGAACCTGTAGGGCGCTGGCATGCTTAGTGACTGTTGACAGAATGCATCAGCTGGGTCTGGTCTACATTGCTGTAGGATTCTGCATGTGGTCTTTCCTGGAAGGTTCTTGCTCTCTTCCTTTTAAATGCTTAAATGCATGGACAGCATGAAGTTAAGGGAAGAAAAGTGCATAAAGGATTAAGAAGCAATCCTTAAGATACTGTGCTTGAGTAGATAGGAGAAACATTCTTAAAAAGTAAGCAAAAATCCGTTAAAATGGAATAAAAAAAGAAATAGAGAAGTTTATTTGATAATAGTAATAAGACACTGTTTTCAAGTATAAAACAATTTTAAGATTAGTGCTGACAATGGAAATTATTGCTGGCAACATTGTTACCCTTTAGACTCTTGTACTTAGTGCCTGTGGTTAGCTAAGATAAAATGTTTACTGTTACAGCAAAGTGCTTAGGCATTGGCTATTTGCACCAAAATTGACTTCAGCCTGCTTGAATAGGGAATGGCTTGGCTTCGCTGAGGCTCATCAATGGTAAAGGAACCTGGTTTGTTTGGCAGGGTAGGGGCCAAAGCTGAATATAGATTCAGAGTTCTGGCTTAGATTTTCTTTGTCCGGGTTTACGCCTCTCCTGTGCTGTTCAGCTATAGAGTCACATCAGCCTGTGTGCCTTAGGAAAATAATTCTGCAATGGGTCTGTCAATCACTCACCCTTTCTTGTGCAAGTTCTGATCATCTCCCCTCCGCCACTCCTGGGGTGGTGTCTGCTGGGCTGGAACTGCAGCATCAGAGATAATAATAGCCTCTGAGTGTCATGGTAATGAGCGGGTGTCTTCAGGAGAGAAACCTCCCTAAGGATGGGGAAGGGATGCTGTGTGAGTGAAAGCAACAGGGAGTCCAGAGCGAGAACAAGGAAGATGCTTATAGATGTCCCAGGGAAAGGAGAACTTCAGGTCATTGCTTGTCTCATTA